ACCCCAGGACAGTAACGCAAAAGAACGGACAGCGTGTGCTGTTCGCTAATGTTCGTAGTCCGCGAAATAAACTTGATGAGATCCAGACGCTTGCCGCACATGTTTGTCCTGATTTAATGACCTTCACTGTAACATGGTTATTCCCAGACATCACTGACCCTAAAGTGTCTATCCCTGGATACCACCTTTCTCGGGCTGATCGTCATGGGAGGAAGTCGGGAGGCGGCGTAATACTCTACCAGAGGGCGGATCTGAAGTCCCATCTAGTTGAGGTCTCATGTGACAATGACAGTGATTTCGATGCCATTTGGTGCCGCAATCATGACGGGTGCAGATCTTCCTTGATTGATGTCATCTATAGAGCGCCACTGGGCGCGGGAGCTCGCCTGATGGAACTGATCAAGAAGCACGGTACTGGAAAGGATTGTCTTATTCTGGGAGATTTCAATGCTCCTATTATCGACTGGGACCTCTTTCTTTGCAATCGTCCACCTGATTACTTCGATGCCGCCTTCCTTGATACCGTTCTCGACTGCAGCCTGTATTAACATGTCTCCACGCCGACTAGTATTCTCGCCGGCCAGTCGCCTCATATCCTGGATCTTGTGCTCTCCCCAGCGCAGCCAGACGTCATGGACCTAACAGTCTTTCAACTCAGTGGTAAAAGCCATCATTGTACTATTTTATTCCAATGGACTCATCGTTTTACCATTCACAACCCATGTGCCGTCCCCCGAAATTTCTAGCGTGCTGATGCGCTTCGTCTTAAAACGGTTGCAGGTATTATGGATTGGTGTATTCCCGAACATCTCAATGTGGGCGGTGCCTGGGATCTTTTGTACTCCAAGCTGACATCACTCAATGAACAAGTTATCCCCATCTCCAAAAAGGGACCTCTCTCTATAGGCCCCCCGTGGATCGATCGTGAACTGAGATCCCTAATGAACAGAAGACGTAAGTTGTGGGACCGCTTTAGGATCGCACGATCAGAGCATGACTACATCGGTTACAAAACGGTTAGGAATACCTGTACCCTGAAAAAAGGTAAGGAACGAAATGAATTGGAATATTGGTAGCTCGGGAGGCTTGGTCAGTTGTTGTGGAGTTCTCCGAGCTGGGCAACTTGGTTGCAGACGTTTCGCCACCATTTGAGGTGGCATCTTCAGTGCGGGATTGATAGCAGTGAAGTAGCAGTAGCTGGTAGAAAGCAAACCCAATAATGGATACTGTCGGTAACTACTCCGTTCCTTATATAGGCATATGAGGCTATTAATTTTGCCTCGATCTCATTGGTGAATCCTTGTGTTCAGCGGTTGTGCTCGAGTCAATGTCATTGGCTGCGGAAATGTTGTTGCGATGTGGTTGGGCTTATCGCACTCGGATTGGTGCAGGAGCTGTGGGTGAGTAGTCTGGGCTCATACTGCCCATGCTGTTCATTGTGCGTGTGTTGCATTAGGTTCATTCGGACAACGGTTGTTGATCCTCTTGAAATCTCACTGTCTCAGCGGTTGATATATTGGATCGAGGTCGATATGCATGTTGATTGAGTTCGTGGTTGAGAACCAGGCTTCGAGAAACTCCCTCCGTTTTTGTGTTTCTCCTCCGGTCAAGATCTCTACCTTGTTCCAGTCGAACCTGTGTCCCTCTTCATCCACGTGTGCTGAAACCAATGAGGTTGCGTAATGCTTCTTGCACGCTCTTTGGTGTTCATGTATCCTGGTGGACAGCTTTCTTCCTGTTTGTCCCACATAGTGCTTTTCACAGTTTGCGCAGTTTATTCTATATACGACATTCCGTCGTTCTAGGGTCTCTCGTTTTCCTTTTGGTTTTGACAATGTCTTCCTCAGAGTGGCGGTTGGCTTGTGGGCTACCATGATATGATGTTGTTTGAACAATCTGGCAGTCATTTCTGACACGTTCTTTATGTATGGCAGAACTATACGTTTTGTCATAGCTGACGTAGGTTCGGTTTTGGAGGGCTTGCGGTTTAAGCATCTGCGGAGGAACCTGCGTGGGTATCCGTTGCGTTCAAATGACTTGAATAAGTGTTTTTCTCCTGCTCGTTTCGCTTCTGCCGTACTGCAGTGAGTTGCTATTCTCTGGAACAGTGTCTGCACACAGATTATTTTGTGACACCTTGGGTGGTTGCTGTGGAAATTCAAAATCTGATCGGTGTGCGTGCTTTTTCTGTAAAATGAGGTTTGCAATTCGCCGTCCACTGTTCTGGCTACTAACACATCCAAGAAAGGAAGTTTGTTTTCCTTCTCTGATTCCATGGTAAACTGTATGCCGTCCATAGCGTTGTTAAGCAGTTGTTGTGCCACCGATACTTGGCTACGTTTGAGTATCATAAAGGTATCATCGACGTAGCGAACCCAAAGTTTCGGATTAATTGTTGGTAGTAGATCTTCTTCCAATTTTTGCATGGCAATCTCTGCGATGAGTCCGGATACAGGTGATCCCATCGGTGCACCTTTCACTTGTTTATACATTTTTCCGTTGAACGCGAAGTAAGTTGAGAGACATAAGTTGAGAAGTTCGCATACGCTTCTGGTCGTCATGTTCCCAATCTTCCCTCCGCTGTTGTCCAGACGTTCTGCGATAATTTCTTTGGCCAGCTGTACAGCTGGCCTGGTTCTCAACCACGAACTCAATCAACATGCATATCGACCTCGATCCAATATATCAACCGCTGAGACAGTGAGATTTCAAGAGGATCAACAACCGTTGTCCGAATGAACCTAATGCAACACACGCACAATGAACAGCATGGGCAGTATGAGCCCAGACTACTCAGAGCCCAGACTGCTCTCAATCTCGCACTGAAGATGCCGCCTCGGATGGTGGCGAAACGTCTGCAACCAAGTTGCCCAGCTCGGAGAACTCCACAACAACTGACAAAGGTGAGAAACGTCAATAATATGAACTCTTCCTAGTCACACTTTCTAAAAAGAGTTCTACGACGCTTTTCCCCTACCTCAAACGGAGCACTAGAGCGGGCAGTGGTATCCCTGCCCTGTGTTCTTCCGAGCATGGAGATCCAGTTCACGAAGACACCGACAAAGCCAGCCTCCTGGCGCGGCAATACTCTTCAGTGTACTCAACATCAGCGTCGTTCTCTGACAGACCAGTGTGCATTCCCCCTTCTCTGTTAAAGCACGTTGAGATAAACACTGACGTCGTGTTGAAACTTCTCTGTGAGTTGGATCCTTACTCATAGCCTGGTCCTGACGACTTGCACCCCTTGTTCCTCAAGACTGTGGCCCAGTACATTGCTTCACCTATCACGCAGGTCTTCCGTCGATCGTTTCAGTCCGGACTTTTCCCGACCGCTTGGAAGATGGGTATCATCAAGCCCATATACAAAGGAGGGAACCGGCAAGACCCAGCTAGCTACCGGCCCATTTGTCTTACATCGGTAGTGTGCAAAATCATGGAACGGGTCCTGAAACGGGCGCTTCGGCTTCATCTCGAGTGGTTGGATCTGATATCCGCTGCCCAGCATGATTTTCCCAAAGCTCGCTCCTGCTCTACCAACTTGCTTAAGGCTAGTTAAAAATGGGCAAATTCATTGGATGTTGGCAAACGCCTGGATGTTGTGTTCGTGGATTTCAGTAAAGCTTTTGATAAGGTCCCGCATGAACAGCTTCTCTACAAATTCCGAGGAATCGGTGTCACTGGAAACTTGCTCTCGGGGATTTCCGATTTCCTGCACAGTCGCTCCATGCTGGTGAGAGTGAACGAAACGTATTCCGATCCTGTACATTTGACCAGCGGTGTCCCACAGGGCTCCGTCCTCGGCCCCGAACTCTTTAACATCATCAACGATCTACCGTCTGAGCTTCAATCGGATTGCTTGATTTATGCGGATGATCTAAAGATATGGAAGGAGATATCCTCTCTAGAGGATGCTGATCAACTACAAGTGACGCTGGCTCTCCTGCACAATTGGTCGATTCAGTGGCGCTTACCCATTAATCAAGACAAATGTTCAGTCCTGCCTATCGGCGCCTCTGAACCATTCGGTGCTTACCACATAGGTGGCTTTTTGCTCAAAAATGTCACTTCAGAGAGAGATCTGGGCGTGATCGTTTCCCCAGACTTAAGATCCACTCAGGACACGATGGAGAGGGTTGCCGCTGTCTACAGGATGTTTCACGCTATCCGAAGAACTTTCTGTTGCTTGACACCGGAACTTTTTAGACTTCTGTTCACCTCGCATGTGCGCCCGATTCTGAAATACCCGCCTACCCGCTTTCCAAGTTTGAGCGCAACATGATCGAAAAGATCCAACGGCGTGGATCGAAGTTTGTTTCCGAGTTACGTGACCTGCCGTATCCCCCTCGGCCCCTACATTTGAACATGTTTCCCATGGATAACTGTCGCCGGCGTGGGGACTTGATTTTTACCCGTCATATCCTCAGGGGAGAGGTAGGGAGAGAGTTGCAGGAATTCTTCCACCTCAACACTGGAAGTTCGACTAGAGGCCACCGATGGAAAATATTCAAGCCACAGAGGCTCCAAGTACGGCCCATTCTTCCTCTATCCACTCGCGTTGGGAATAACTGGAACCGGTTACCGCCGCCCGTCGTTGATGCACAGACGGATTGCTTCGAACGACTACTTGATTCACACCTGTTGAATATGCCGGAATCGTGTTGCTTCAGCTACGAGTGCGATTGCCACTCCGGAGTTTCTGTTGCGCAATGACGAGCATCCCAGCAATGATCGGGAAGCGATGGAGCTGACAAGGGATCTCCCTCCTGCTCTCTACTACCCGATGAATCAATCACTATTGCTTACTAATGCAATATAAACCCGGGAATCATAGCTAACCGCCCACACGCGGCGTAACAAACTGAATGACAAGGGAAAGCGTGGTATCATGGTGCAGACGCTGCTTCTACTGAATGGAGGAAACTAAGTTAAACACGGCGCAGGGTACAGTCCCACTACTCATCGTGATGCCTTAGGATTTCCGTCCCAATAAGCCCAACGATTGCGGAAATATAATCCGATTTTTGCACAGTGAAAGGTCCCTTTAACGACACAGTAGTGGCTACATTAAAGAGAAACACATTAATATTGACAACAGAGGTCAATGTTCCGTTTGAAACCGTCAGGCTTCTTCTATGCTGTCGTCTGGGGAGTCCAAGTCCACTATTTGGAAAACCTTATTTAAGAAATGTTAATAAGTAGTCCACCATTGCATACCTGCTGGCTGCTTGTACAACCTTTGGCGGAGTCGCGCCATGCGTTGCCACGAATAGATTTCAATTAGTTTCTGACATATTGTGTTATGCCATCCGGTGACACATTGCTTTCGGAGAATCGTTTTAATAGAGCAGCTATGACAGGGCTGAAAAGGCAAAGAGGTCGCTTACCTTGCATTTCGGTGAAAAGCTTCGTTTTCCGGAATCCGTGTTTGTTGCGGGAACCGGAGTAATTGATCTCCGCCATCAATGGCCGCGTTAAAAGACGCTGCATCATGAGGCGTACAGTCTCCGACAAGGTGTCTCCGTGCACACCTTCCAGATAAGTATGCTGCATGCATTTGTGAGGTATCAAAGAATCCTACCAATTGTTGCCTGCGTGCTGCATCCTGCATTAATATATCGAAGGACTGTAGTTCCTCTACCGATGTAATTGGCAACGGAAGCTGCGTTGCCTGCTGCCCTGGTTGGCCGGCAATGGTCGCAGCCATCGAGCTCAAGCAACTCTTCATATACTCCAGTGTCTCCATAATTTTCTGAACATTACCTGCAAATGTATACCATGTTTCAGTAATTTAGGAAATTACCGTCTATGGACTCAACTTTATCATTCAGTTGGTCCATATCGCCTGCAGGAAAATGATTAAACCGTAATTAAATGCTTACGGTGAATACGATTCCAATCGCTTTTAGGAATAACGAAGAAGGACGAGTCAGAAGTTGCCTGTACGACTACGGTATTCAAGCTAGAAAGTGTAAGCACCAACCTGAATCCAGTTTCCGAATCTGTGCGTTCGAATTGTCACGACAGTGAGACGCAGTATTGAACGCTTAAGTTTCATATTAAGAAAAATGTACCCCATACCTGTATTAGCTTGTTTGTATCCATTCATGTTGTATTGTTGGGAAGACGACTGACGTGAGTTTTTACTCATGGAGCGGGTCAACTCATTTAACGAAACGATAGGTGGGGAGCCATAAGGAACGGCTGTGGTGACCATGCGCTTCCCGGGGGGCTCCAAGTCATTATCGTCCGAAATTAAACGACGTGGTGTACGGCTGTGATGAAATGCTATGCAGGCGATGTAGCAACTCACATGAGTCTATGTGGGAGTGTGCCCATGTCTGCCGTTGAATCCGTGTCTTCGGTTAAGTTCGAAAGGTCGATCGAGTTGGCTAAGGCGACAGCCCGATCGAAATCCACTGAAAAATTATGACAGCACAGAACTTACTACTTCGACGAAGTATAGTCACGTCGGCGAATGTACAATTCTCGTCCGCCGGCCGGTGTTCCCTCACAGCGTTTAGGTATTCCAAATGGGGGACGTTTGGTAGCAACGCCCGTCGACCGTCCCCAAGCAGCCAAGAGCTGCTTATGGTTGTAACCGTGGATACGGTGGACGTACTCAGCGAAACGACGTAATATGTTAATGAGGTCATAACGCTGAAATAGATGACTTATGCAAGTACTTCCTGTCCGTTTGCACAAACACTGATTATGAAAGAAATGTAATGGCAACGAAACGTTTAATTAATAAATATGGTGTGTACATGAACCCACATTCCGCAACACCCGTAGCCTTTTCTTTGCGTGCTGTCTGCCGAAAAAGTTTCCGGTTGAACGCATCGACACTGAAAACCTGTCAACATGTTTAAGATAATGATCACGTTACCTGCATCCGTGTTGCTAAAGGCCATTCCATGTTGTTCATATGGTCTTACGTTGTATGTCCGGTGCATGCCCACGCAGATCTTTGCCATTAAGAGTGCACTCAGCGCCCTGTAGTTTGTCATTCTGATGCACATAGACGTATTCACCCTGTTAACAGCGCTTCATATGCCCATGGGCCGAATACAGTTAAGATCTTGTACCCCGTTCAAATGGTGCTTCGTACCGCATCCACCCACGCTTGCCAAAAACAGTATTGTAATGGAACCACCATATGAGGATGTAATGTCGCTCATTATGTAAAGTGAATACATGTGAGTCTCAGATGGACGCCCTGCGATCACACTGCATAAAGTGGTACCAAGGAAACTCGTGTAACGGGATAAGTGTAAACCCTTTGAGAAAGAATCCCATTTCAGCAGGTAAAGAAGAGGACATTAATAAGCACCCGAACAAAACAAGAAATAATCATAGGCATTAACATAAGTGAAATCAGAAGATCCATGGAAAGAAGTAGAGCAAAGTAGAAATGAACATTTAGGGACCTTAAACGTGGACAATACTTCAAGTCGTGCCATCCGGAGTTCTAAAAGTATGCAAGAGGGGAACAATAGCTAAGAAATCATTAAGAGAGAAGCACAAACTTGTAACGTATATCGCCCACAAGGAATGATTGCAGATCATCCCTGATGCTTGAGGCGGCAAATGTTTTGCAAGCAGAAGAAGGTATCCGGAGGTGATACAATGCATGCACGCCAGTGAAAGGTTTACAAACAATGCTCTCATCTTCTGAGTCAATATGGTTAAACATGGCTACGCAATATGGGTAATCAGATACAATGATCACGTTGCGTAGGTTGTACCGTGCAGAATCAACACTTCACGACGTGTTAATCCACGCTGTTGTATGCGAGTCTCCTGAGATGCAGGCCACAGAGAAAAAGAGGAGACGTCCGCATATTCCAAGTACCGTCTCATAATCTGTACCGCGGGGTTTCGTGCCTTACGCACTACTCGCTTCAGGACGCCTATATAGGACTCGAATGGAAACGCAGAGAAATCATCAAGCGTTTCATGCACCTCCACGTCCAATGTTAGGTGGCTTAGGCAGTGAACACTGAACGTCACCTGGGCTCTCCCGTACAGGCAGCAGTACCCATGTATGAAATTAACTATTAAGAGTTTCGCGAAAGACCAGTACTGCTTATGCAACAGCGGGTGACAGAAAATGTATATTCCAAGATGAAGATGTAAAACGTTGTCACAATAATCTCCTGGTAGCACGTTTAACAAAATTGCAGGCGCGTCGTATAAAACAGATTCAGATGGACCGGAACGATAGGGATCGTTGAGCCAGGAAATGATAAGGTGCTAGGAGGTCTTGATAGATCTAAAACGAAACACTCCTGATCAATCAATTACTGCCCACGTTCCCTGCACTAGCAGTCATCGCTGTGTAGGCTGTAGCGCCCAAAAAGATAACTCTTATCTTTCGTGTACAATTTACTTGTTGACCGATTGTACATTAGATTCGCCTTCTGGTTTCGGCTCCACGTGTTTTGCTGTTTGTCGCCGTCTGTCTGCTGGCCTCGTCCATCGATCATCGGATCTAACGCGTCGATTTATTGTGCTGATTAAGTTCCGTCTTCCGACCAGATTGTGCGACTAACTGACAGCCTAGCGAAGATCGTGCTTTACCTAAGGTCAGCTACAGCATTCTTATTTATAGACTGAGTTCTTATATGTAGTTAAGCCCTTTCCGTTTGGCCTTTTCCACTACATATTTGGTGACCCCGTTTTCTTTATTTGAAAACTCAGAACTCCTTGTTTGTGACTTGACTATGTCGGACCACGATCCCCGCACTGACATTTCAGAAAATTTTGTTGATTTCTCCTTCCCTACCTTCGATTCATCCAATCCTCACGTGTGGATTTACAGTTGGAAGCTCTTTTTCGCATACGCCGTATTACTTCTCAGTCCTTAATGTTCGCACATGTCACTGCCCAGCTTCCTACCCACATCGCAACTGACCTTATGGATTTGCTTGATCCGATTCCGGCTGACGCACCTTACGATGAACTCAAAGCCGCCGTATTAAAGCGCACCACTGCCTCGGACGAAGCAAGACTTCGACAATTACTTTCCGGTCTTGAACTAGGCGACCGCACGCCGTCACAACTTCTCAGGCACATGCGTACGTTGGTCTGTTCCTCTAAGGTCGATGACACGATTCTGCGACAGCTCTGGACGAAATGTCTTTCATCGAAGACCTCAGCTCTTCTCGCCGTCTTCGCAAGTGATTTGTCTTTGGACAAGCTGGCTGAAACAGCAAACAAAGTTCATGAGTACTTTCATAAACCCGCAGCATGTCACGCAGTTGAGTCGACCATTCACGCCGATCTTAAGACTGACCCGATTAAAACCATTTCTGAGAGGTTATTGAAGCTGGAGCTCACCATCTCGAGCGTTAATCGCTACCGTGGTAGAAGCCCTAGACGCTCCTCTCGAAGTAGACGTAGTCCCGCCAGGAGTTCGAAACGTCATTTCTGTTGGTACCACTACCGTTTTGGCGATGATGCAAGGAATTTTCAACCTGGTTGTAACCATCCGAAGTCATTCCACAAACCGCAGCAGGGAAACCTCCACGCCAGCCAGTGATGGCGACGGCTGCGGCTGGCCAATCTTACAGTCGCCTACTTTACGTCTACGATTCCTCAACCAATTTGAACTTCTTGGTTGACACCGGTACCGAGGTCAGCGTTATTCCTCGTTCTGCAGAAAAACGCAACCTATTTCCAACCGGACCAACATTGCAGATGCCGAACAATACCAAGGTCCAAACATACGGCCAGAAAATGTTGACTCTTAATCTTGGTGTTCGTCGAACTTTCCCCTTGGTTTTCCTCATCGCTGACGTCCAAAGCCCCATTCTTGGTGTTGATTTCCTTACCAAGTTTGGCCTGATCGTGGACCTGAGTTGCCGTAAACTATGCGATAGTTTGACATCCTTGTCCGTTTCGGGTAAAGTCAGTTCGGTCAGTTCGATCGGCCTTCGCTTGGCATTGCCCGCCGACAATGTGTTTACCAAACTATTACTGCAGCTTACTGCTCTTTGTCAATCGCCTAATGACTTTCCTGTGCCTAAGCACGAAGTTACGCATCACGTCTCAACACATGGGCCGCCAGTAACCGCCCGACCTCGACGATCACCTCCAGACAAGCTCGCTACTGCCAAGGCAGAGTTCGAACATATGCTTCGTCTCGGTATCGTTCGTCCTTCCAATAGCCCATGGTCCTCCCCGCTTCATATGGTTCCCAAAAAGTCCAGCGGCGACTGGAAACCTTGCGGAGATTACCGCACACTAAACAATTCCACCGTCCCCGATAGATATCCGGTTCCGCACATCCATGATTTTTCAACTGGTTTGCATGGAAGAACAATTTTCTCTAAGATTGCCTTGGTGCGTGCATACCACCAAATTCCGGTTGCTCCCGACGATATTCCGAAGACCGCTATAACCACGCCATTTGGTCTTTATGAATTCGTTCGCATGCCATTAGGTCTACGAAACGCCGCACAGACTTTCCAAAGTTTTATAAATAAATAAATCAATAAATAATTTATTCTCGACTATGCGTGTCAAGCCAATTGAGGCATGATCAGGTATGTACAGCTGTATAGACATTTTATGGGAACTGTAGTGACGGTAGGAAATATTTCATATATTCTTGCTTGGAACTGTGCAATGGTGAACATGCGAAGGAACGATTTGGCGGTAGTGGGATCGGGATCCATTTGTTTGGACATAATCTCTCTGCCATATATCGAAGTCATACCTCGACTAATAATAGATAGAGAATCCTGAGTGATCCATTGGAAGATAATTGAAGAGCAAGCTATCCAGTATGATGATTCTAATTGAGCTGCCAGTGTGAAGTTTATGGGCTGTGACTTTATTCGGTGGCGAGTCACATTCGTCCACTTGCAGTGTTGTTAAA